CAAATTTTTAATCATGATTTAAATTTATTTCTGTAATTTTTGAAATTTTAACAAACAATTTTAATAATTTATTCATTGTCACTAAAATACCCAAACAAAATTAGCAATTTTAACAATATTTAAATTTTTAAAAAAAACTAAAAAATCATATTTTATTTAATTATTCAGGAGAATGTAGTACTTTATTTACATCATATTTATTGAGTTCTTTAAATTTTGTGCACACAAAAAACATTTAGATGTTTTTTGTTTTTTTTAAAATTTTGCATGATTGATTTTGCGAAATGAATTTTGCAAACATATTTTTAGCTAATAATCGTATAAAATTCTAAAATGTAAATTTCGCATTCAATTCATTACCTTGAATAAATTCAAGATTACATATAACAATTGTTACAAATAAATAATCATTTATTTTTTGTAGTTTTTCAGAAGAAAAGGTTTTAGTAAAAAAATAATTACTAAAAATAAATAAGAGATTGAGAGCTATTTGAATTTCTCGCAAAAACTTAAAATCTAATTCTTAAATAATTACATTTCCTATCTGGGATAACTATAAGGTGAAAAATTTCGAAGCAGTTCTTATTTGTAAATGCTGACCAGCATACAAAATTGATATTTTTGAATAAAAAATATCTGTGGTAAACCTATTACTTTTTTAAAATGCTTTTACTGAGCATTGAATAATGTTAATATAAGGAGAAATATTTAGCTCACCTTATTCGGGATGAAGCATAATGATTTGCTTCCATCAATTCCTGACCAGTACTAGCAATTTCATCAATCCTACTTTTATTGGCATTTAATTCTTGTTCAAAATTTTGATGTTTCTGGACTTTGCCATTAACATTGGTTGGATCCTATAAAATAATTGTCGTAAGTAAAAAATTTTTTTTAAAAAAAGTTGCTTTTGTTGACACAAAAATCAATTAACTTACAAGATAACTCTCATCGGTTGCAGTCTTCAACTTTTCACTAATCCAACCTTTTGTTTCATCACAATCTCTTTCAAACTGTTGTAAACGATAAGAATCTTCCAGCATTGCACGTCTAATGTCAGATTTCTCCATCAGTGCGGAACGTCTTTCTAGTAACTGCAAAATATAAGCAACTCAACATTAAGATTTCTGAAAATCGATAACTACACACGACTTTTAAACACTCAAAGTCATAAAAGTAAAGTTTTTTCTTCATCAGCAGTTCTATAGAGAATTATTTCAAGAAATTTTAACGGTGTATCAGGCATGAAAACAATGTCGTGAACCCTGTGGCAGAATTTTTTCCGAGCTTTCTGCGACATACCTCTCTAATACCATTATATTAAGGGTTGCGACAGAAAAAAATAAACAATA